TTGCTCTGCCCAAATCTGCAAATCCAGAATTATAATGTATCTCTAAAATGGTAGAAAATCTCAGTGCTGATATAGATTTCAAGGTCAGCATGACTATCCACTGCAATGGGGCCATTTCTTCAATATGATGATCCTCAACAGAATTGGTATCAGTCCCTCCCCACCCTCTACCAGGGAGCATTCGGAAATGTCTAGGGAGTTTTTGCTGTCACAGTGATGGGACAGCACTACCGTTATTTAGGGGGAGGGGTGCAAAAATGCCCAAACTGCTGCAAAGTATGGGACAGTCCCACACAGAGAACTGTCTTATAGGTACTGTGGGAAGAAGAACTGGAAAATGAAATCGAAAAAAAAATTTACAATGGCATCAAAAAATAAAATATTTAGAAATAAATTTAAAAATGTGTAGCTCTCTACAATGAAAATTATAATACTGCTGAGAGAAATATTAAAAGACCTAAATAACCAGAAAAACATATCATGTTCATGAATTAGAAGAGGCAATATTATTAAGATATGAATTCTCCCCAGAATGACCTACAGATTCAATGCCATTCTAATTAAAACTCCACTAGACTTTTCTTTTTTTTGGTAGAAACTGACAAACTGATTCTCCAAGTTATGTGGAAACACAAAAAACCTAGAATAGCCAAAACCATCTTGAAAAAAAGAGAACAAAGTTGAGAGAAATATATCGTGATTTCAGGACTCACTAAAAAGCCACAGTAATAAAAATAATATGGTACTGGCATTAAGGACAGACAAATAGATCAATGGAAAAGAATAGAGCCCAGACAGAAACAGACCTACACATAGGTGGTTACTTGATCACTAATAAAGGCACTATGGTAATACAAGTCTTTTTATTAAAAAAAAAATGGTGCTGGAACAACTGAATATTGATATGAGAGAAAAGTCAACTTTCCTCACATCAAATCCCAAAATTAACTTGAGAAGGATCACACACTTATATATAAAAGCTAAAACCATAAAGCTTTTGGGAAAAACATAAGAGAGTATCTTTATTAGAGTATCTTATATTGTAGGGTAAACAAA